GCAATGGCAGAGTCTTGATTGAGAAGGTCTTCAAAATGCTCCTTCCAAACAGGCATTGATGGCTCCCTTTTCCTTGATCAGGTCTCCTCCATCCTTAGGTCTCAAGGGAGTTGGTCCCTGAGTGCTCGGACCACAGATGGCTTTGGTGGCACTGAAGAAACCACGTAGATCGTGGATGTCATGTTGACAAGAGATCTTGATTCTCTTTAGCCTTGTTTTCCCACAATTTGTTCTTCATATCACAAGTCTTCCTTGAACCTCTGCCTTGGCTTGTTGGAGATTCAGTTTCTTTTGCTTGGAGTTGCTGTTGTTTTGCCAAGCACAAAAGGCCTTGCACTTGCAACCAATAAACCCTTGCATCTCCTGGTCATTCTCAGCAAACCAGTCTTGATGTTTCCTGGTAGAGAATGCAAGTGTCTCTTCACAGGTACTGATGACAGTGTCTTTGAGGGCACCACATATGTTGCTGTCATTCTCCCATTGTTGCTGATTGGAATTCACCATTTTTTTGTGTTTTTTTGTTGTTGTTGAGGAGCTGGTGGAAGAGGTCTCACTTCCTTGGGTCTTTGAGTCCTTCAATGTTGATCTTCCATCAGCATTGCTTCTGCTGCAGCCATTGTTTGGGAGCCAGTTTGAGTGACATAACTGAGAGGATGTGTTGGTGGTCAGTTCAGCAATCATCAACTCTGCGCATAGCTCAAGTGATGCAGGCATCTTTTGCAATCCTAATCATGGACAATGACATAGTCAGTCAGGTGCTAATGCTTAGATCGTGCATAGTGCCATGATGTCTTGTGCCTGTTTTTTTTCTGATGGAACAGAATGTTGGTGATCGTACGTTGAAGTTCTGCACATTTGTTCAAGAGGAGGATGCCACTGGAGTTGACTTTTCCTACTCTTTCCTTGGTGACACTTCCGTTTCAGGGGTTAGAGTCCCTTCCGACTGGTGTTGAAATTGCCAAGAAGTCTGTCTCCCTCCAGAACATCAGAAAGGACATTTGTCAAAATTGGGGTAGAATTCCTTCTTGGTTTCACCGGCAGCATCAAGAGTCACATACACTCTGGTAATAACGGCATATAGGCTCCCTGCCAGTTTAAAGCAATCATATGGTGCTCATTAATTCTGATAGGGAACTCATTAAGTTGATTTATGAGTTCATTCTTAATGGCAAAACCAACTCAAAGAAGTTGGCATTCTCCTTCCTGCTTACCCTTCCAGAAGAAGGTATAGCAACTTCCATGTTCTTTGAGCTGCCCATTGCCCACTTGCTGTATTGCCTGAGTTCTCAGAGTAGAATCATAATGTGGAACTCTGGCCATTCACTATTAGGGTTGTCCATGAGGATCCTGAAGTTCCAGGTCCCAAAAGTGATGGTGTGTCTTCGCTGGTATTTTCGATCACAGTATAGGCGATCCGATTGGATGTGGTTATCCAGTCAGAATTAAATGTAGAATACCCTAGCAGCTGATCACTGACTGGGGGGAGGGTCCCCCCAGCAGCCAATTGCCGAGCCTAAAATCACCAGCGGCAAAACTGGAAGTGCACTTCCACTGGCACTTCCAATTTTGCAGCTGGTGTTTCCAGGGGGTGCACAGCCAATCTCGGTGGGTGCACATACACCCGTGTGCACTCCCTACGTATCGCCCATGTAGAATACTGTATTAGACAGGTTATGTTTAGGGCAGCTTTTCTAGCCCCCTCCCCATGTGGGGTGAACAGATCAGATCCTGAAGAAGGCTGCTCAGTCACAGTTACAGCTGCCGAATTGCACTCCTGTTTCATCCAAGTGCTAGGCAACCTTCTTGTAACTGCTACCTTCATGCCAGTTCATGACTAGGAGCTTCCAGACCTCACAATCCTGCTCCTTTTGCCACTACCTGGTCACCAAAGGGTTTGAGGAATACGCTGGAAAAGCTGTTTTCATGGAAGATGCCCAAGCATGACCACTTTTATCATGGAGAAGCTGCTGCACATGAGCTTCTACATGGCTGAAATGGGACCTTGATCCAGCAGCAAGGAGACCTGGGGATCTCATTCTGCTGCAGCCTTCATCCACCTTTGCAGCCATTGAGATTGTAACATCTTCTTTGACCTGCTCCACCACTGAGGACTTGTAGTCCCATGGCTGGGGGCTGGGCAGGATTATTATAGTGGCGACCTGTACTCACCATGTCATAGCACTGTCAAAGAATATGTGGCTTTTCAGGAGGGAAAGCATTGCCATTTGTTTTCCTCACCACATCCTGGTGGTGCTGCTGCTGCTGCTTGGTCCACAACTGCTTATTCATCAGAGTAACCCCTGCTTATTTCACAGCTAACCTTCCGCGAAGGTCATTCCACTATCCACCACCTGTGGATGCACTAGATAGCAGTACAGCTCAGGTGCAGATAGCATGTGGCAAGTGTAATGTGTAAGAAGGCCCTCATAGATGTTTGTGGCTAATTTCTAGCTCTTGCATCATGAAGTTGTCACCACTTAGGGTGGCTTCCAATGGTCACTTGCAACAGTTGCAAATCATTGGAATATTGACACGTATTGCAGTTTGTACATGTTAGAAGATAACACTGAAAGGGAACCTTTTTGCAACACAGAAGGCATTTACCACATCATGTAACCACTTCTGTTTTAACTGCACTTAGTAAGTGTTAAATTTAATGTGTGACACCATCCTGACAGTGATTCACAACCACTGTGCACCTTAACTTGTATTCTGAGGACATCTAGTGGTATAAGTGTACTTCACAAGTGAGAACTATTCCTTAGACTAAAGGGCTGATCGCCCTTTATTTACAACAGTATCATTCTTCCTTCCGTGCTGTTGCATCCTTCCAATTTATGCTGGTATAAGGAAGAGGAAATCAGGCCCCAGTGCTCATTTTTGCCTGGTAAGTTAATCATAAAATAATGTTTGTTTTCCATTGTTTCTTTCTTTTTTCCTTGCTTTGTCTTTTACATTTACTGAAGAATCACATGCAACAAGAAGGAGGTATTCTATGTTCTGAAGTCATGGAAGCCCATTAAAAATAGGGCTGGTACCTCAAGAGGTATTCCGCTCCAGACCCGATCAAGGCAGGACAATCCCCGTATAACCTACCAAGACAAACGTTTCTCTAACCTGCTGTGAAAAAACCTCCAGTGAATGAGGAACCTCTCTAGGGAACCTGCTCAACCTCCCTAGGGGATCTGTTCTGATGTTTTAAGTGCCCTCACAGTTAGAAAATTCTTCCCGGTATCTAACCTAAATCTCCCTTGCTACTATTTAGACCATAGATTCTTTTCCATAGGGAACTGGACAGAGAAAAAAATTAATGATCATTCCCATGATAACGACCCTTCTTGTATTTGACAGCTGGCTGAAAATTGCTGAGTGGGATGCTTAGCCTCTCTGCAGCTGAGTTGCCCTGCCTGTCTGAGGAAGTAATCGGGATTAGAGAGTTACAGCTGGCAAAAATGGCTTGATTAAATAAAGTGATAATGCTATTATTGAATGTTGCATGTTGCCATATTTCTCAGGGAGCCTTTGATCTGACATCCCCTCCTGGAAGAGGAGTAGATAAAGCAACATGCAGCAAAATTTGTTGTTACCGGTTCGGTTTACTTTGTTGCTTTTTCTGAACATGGTGTATTCGAATGGTAAGTCGTTTGTGCTTTAGAGCATGTTCTTTTCCTAAGTACTTTATTTAGAAAAATCTAAAGATAATCTGTAGCTATCCTTTAAATGTCTAGTTCCTCCAAAATCACCGAAGCAAGGGTTTTGAAAATGCCTTGACTTATTCTTCTTCCTTTTTTAAATTTAAGTCAGTCATAAAATGAAAAGACGGCCTGGCAATAAAGAGTCAAAATATTTTATTTTAAATTATGTTGAAATAATGCTTGGCTGTCCTGAAGTTCTTCAGGAGAGTAGTTTTTAAAGCCCAAACTTTCCTGAATTTGATTCAATTTCTTGAATGCTATTTGCCAAAAATACAGCTTATTAACTGGGTGACTTCTGTCCTTCCCCAGAACAGTCACCTCCTGGAAAGCCTGAGGTACTTAGATGTCATTCACCAGAAAAAGAAACCCTTGCTTGCTGGTGGAAGCCTGGTTCCGATGGAGGACTCCCGACCAACTACACTCTGCTCTACAAGAAGGAAGGGTAAGAAGCTGGGAAGTGTTGCCTTACCCTCTTTTCTCTTACAGACAGTTAAGAAGCAGTGGACAATTCTTCTGTAGATTATTATGTTCTTTAGTTTAAATGTTCACAGATTGAGCTCTCCCTTGTCCTTAATGCAAGTATTCTCAGCTGAGGACAGTGTTAACACAAAATGGGGAGGTCTGTATCAGTTTATGAATTCCATTTTTATAAACCCCATGCTATATTTTGACCTCTCTTTTGTATGTAATCTTGAGTATAGGGATAAGCATTCAGTTTAGTAGCAGGAACTTGAGACTTAGAGTATTGCCAGGCATTCATTTGTAATGCTATATCGTGTCTCAGCACTTTGTTCCTCTCCAGCCTGGGGACTGGAATGTCTGTGCTACAAAGTGAAATACAAGCTAGTCCCCATGTGTGCAGCTGAGGACTGTGCAGTCTCTGTCCAGACCCCATTTGCTTATCAGCAGTTGAATCCCATCAGACAGATGAGTGTCTGCCTGGGGAGCAGGGTGGTTTCAGGCTGTCACTTAAGAAATCTGTAAAAGCAAATGTTGTTTAATCATGAATGAGATGCTTGTACTTGTGAAAATAAAAGCTCTGTAGCTATGCAAATGCCTGCCCACTATGGACTTGGGGAACCCTGATGATGCCTGAGTCACTGGTGATTCTCGTATTCTAGTAACGAATCAGACTAATGGTTAGGCTTCTACTGAATCAAAGCCTGAGAGGTCTGGGGTTAGTTTACTTAAATGAAACGCATGCATTGTAAATTGGCATTTCCTTTCTCTCATTTCCATTTGTCTTCAGTGTTCTGTATATCAGATCTCCATTCCAGAGTCCTTTGTCTGGACATGCTTTTTTTGGAGATCCTAAAAATGATTTGTTCGGCATCAGTAAAAGCCTAGGTTCTGTTCCAGGAAACTGCCATCATGATTGCCACTGCTTGCTCGATACTCAGTCTTTGCAGAGAACCCCTTGAGGCAGTCTGACAGGGTTGTGTAGCCTTTTCTTGTATTATTTATTCCTATGCTACCAGCTCTAAATGTAAAGAATGGGCTCCATTGTCTGGGGCGCTCAATCATGAACCATTTTTATAACCACTAAAATTCACTTTTCCAAACAGAGCTAAGATTCTAGCTCTCTTCCCCCATTTTACATACACCACTAAGCTTTCTGATTACATACTTACTGAAGTCCAACAATGATCAGGTCTTGTATAGGATTGCAAGGGGCCCAAGAATTGTCCCGAGTCCCTGCATGATTTGCAGGTGGGTGGATATCAGTTCTTGTCTGTGAACAGCAGGAACTGTTTGGCACTGTTCCTTATCTAGGCAGCAGTGGAGAGGATGCAAGCCCATAGTGATGCCCCATATGCCACCTGTGGTTCATGAAGCAGAGCAGGACCCCAGGGAAATTCATATGCTCCCTACTATGTCAGTTGTAGAGTATATAACCTCTGTGCATCCTGCTGGTGTTCAACTACTATTGCTCTAAGGGGTGGCACGAAGCACAGGGCTCAGTCTAGGAACTAGCATTACCATAAAGCAATCCTATTGCTAAAAAATCCCCAAATTCCTGTGAAAGGACTGGGTAGGTGTGATGAACTTACCAGTGCTTATTTTAATGAGAGTATAATGTTAAAGAATTAGACAAGGCATCATCCTGTTGGCAGACCAGAATGATCTGATCGTTACAATTGTCTTCCATCATAATTGTAAAGTAATAAAGCTACTCTAGGTTCTCTAGGTTTCTAAATTTCTGCCTCAGTACATACACAAATGTATCCCCAGTCCGAGGAGTGTGACACCTAGATTCTGCCTGAGCCTCATTCAGAGATGAGGCAAATCCCACCTAAACTCTGAGTCCCCTGACAGGCTCAATGTGGTAGCCCAGCTCTGAGCACTCCTAATACTCACCAAGAGCAACGGGTTCAGAACAGAAAACGGCAGCCTTGCCAACCTCCTTCAACATATAGTAAGTAGGTGGTGGGGCTGCTGCAGCCCACCTCTTACAGAAAAGCCCAGGGATGTGAGCATTTGCCCAGGGCGATAGGCCATCCCAGATCTCCCACACCCGCAGGAGTGCATCCCAACCACCCAAGTGTAGCACCGTCTGGGTGCAGGCACTCTCTACACCTCCTCATGAAGTTGAACCACTGTGCTAGTAAGAGTAATGGGGCTGGAAGGGGAGCAAGTGAACAGGAGACTGATTGCGTAGTCGAGTGATTAGAGCACTTGGCCGAGGAAAGCCTCGGTTCTGATCCCTGCTCCCAGACCTGCTTATGCAATTTATATTGGCCAGTCACTGCATGAAAACAGAAGTAAAGTGGGGGGAGGGGGACAGTGGGGCAGACACATTAGCCCAGGACACTCCCCCAGCCAGGTGGGTGCATTAACCACTAGGTTACAAAGTCATACTCCCTCCTACTTGCTCTCCATCTGGGAAGTGGGAGATGTTATATGGAGTCCCCTCTGGTAGATGGCCAGGTCCCTCACTTTCTGGGTGAGTGCCAAGCACCAAGTTGTTACGCTGTGATTGGGAGCAACCATCTCTTGTCGTGTATAACAAAGACTGAGCCCTGCTCAGTTCGGCACCTAACCTTAGCATGGGAGTCCAGAACCCGACCCCAAGTAAATAGGGCTGCACGTTAGGCATTTCCGAGTCAGGTGTCTTAGCTCCAGGCGGAGCTGTATGTTTGGGCATACCCCTGTCTGCAGCATTTCTGTTGGCCAACTCTAAGCAGCTCCTGGCCCAATGTTTTTGTGGATTACCTTGCAGAAGCATTACCTCTCCCCATTCTCTGTGAATCCTACTTCAGAGATAACTTGCCTTCCCCATTAACTGTACAGGGAGCCTGGGATCTACCTAAAGTCTAGGAATTGCAATGATTATGTTGGGGACTCTCTGGATCTTGCCCTAGGTGACCTGATTTGTCTCTTCACTTGATCTGAAACATTTAAAATATGGAGCAGTGTCCTCAAATATATCCTGAGTGTCATGAAAATGATCTTTCTTCCTTTTTATTAGCATGCATCTTATTATAGCTTGTATAATAATAGGATCTAAAAGAACAGGCTGTACTTAAGTAATTATTGTAAAGACAAGTCTAAGTCAAACAAATAATTAAGCTAATGGAACTTAAGCACATACTCGGGTGTTTTGCTGTGATGGGAGTACATGCCACTTGGCTTAAAGTGAAATGTGTTAAGTACTTTGGTAAATCAAGACTATTGTTGGTAAATTAGACACTTTACTTCATGATATTTTAATTCTTCTATTTTAGAGAAGAACAAATCAATGAATGCCTGGACTACAGAACAGCAGGTCCTAATTCCTGTTACTTTGATAAAAAGCACACCAATCTGTGGACCACTTATAACATCACTGTCAGGGCAACTAATGAGCTGGGAACTAACATCTCTGATCCTCATTATGTGGATGTGGCCTCCATAGGTAAGGGAAAAATTAAGGTGAGATGGCTCTGAGCTATTTCTCAGCAGTTATCTTGAAAGAGCGGATTG